TTTCATTCAATCATCAATATCTCGACAAGCAATAGTCGCACGGAGACCTTTCAAAAATTAAATTGAAATTGAATAAATAAGCTAATTGACCTTTGTATTGATTGAATTTGAAAAAAATTTTGAGTCCTTGGACAGTCTTAAGAAAAAAAAATTTTTCGATAACCTTAGCTTAAAAAAAATTTCACAACAAGACCTTGAAGCTAGAGACTTGAAGCTGCAAAATTCTTTATTTATCCCGACACGACAATTTTTTATTGAGATACAGCTTTTTGAGAATCACTAAAAAATTCGTGAAAATATTTTATTTCTTTAATTTTTTCCAGTAGTGTACTTGAAGAATCTAAAAAATCGCGAATCATCCAATTTTAATTTTACTTATTTATTCCCTCAAAATATACTGGGTGTTTGGTAAAAAAAATAAAATATTGCGGAAACAATATATGTTTTACTATAAAAATATTGTTTTTAGTTTCACCAGTGGCTTGCGCACAGGCACGTCTTTAAATATTTTTAAAGAAAAAAATGATACATCACTGATTTTTCTTAAAATAATTGGAAGAGAAAAAGTATCTCGTCTGTTTTTCTTACGACGCACCGTTTTCGAGTAAAAAAATAAAAATCGATATATTGCATGGGGTAGGGTAATCCAGTTTCAATAATTTGGAAAACAGCAGAAATTATGCACTTGTGCCAATTTTATTACAACACGTTATTACTAAAGTGACAGCTAGTATTAATTTTGTCAAACAATAACAAAAACAAGTGCACAGCCAACTTGCTAATTTCTGTTTAAGATAGTGAATAGTGAATCTAAAAACTGATAAAGTTTTTTAGACTGATATTGTTAACTGTGAGGAGTAATAATTTTTTGTAATAAAATTGATACAAAAAAAGCCGAGTGCATAATTTCTGTTTTTCAAATTATTGAAACCGGATTACGCCATGTAATAAATCGATTTTAATTTTTTTTTTACTACAGAACGGTGCGTCGTAAGAAAAACAGACGAGATACCTTTTCTCTTCCAAATTGAACAAGGAATTCAAAAATAATTTTTATTAAAAAAAAATCAGTGACGCGTCATTTTTTTCTTTAAAAATATCCAGAGATGTGCCTGTGCGCACGCCACTGGTGAAACTGAAAACAATATTTTTATCGTAAAACATGTATTGTTATTAACTGCTAAAGCTTGCAAAATTTCATTAAAAATTAAATTAAAAAATTCTAAGCGGTTTTCGCAATATGTATTTATAAATTTGCATTTTTTTATTAAAACTAAAACACCCTGTAGATCGGAAACTAAGCTCTTTCGGAATATGGTATATTAAGGAAATATATCCCAAATCACTTGTACTATAACTTCCTGCAAGGAATGCATCAACTTACCAAATACCCTGTATATTCAAAATTACTGTAAAATAAATCAGCCTTTGCTTCTAGAAAAACTGGATATCTTAATAAATTTTCTATCCGCTAGGAATTAAAAACAAGGCCAATAAAATAGAGTGTACCTAAACTCATTATCTTATTTTAGAATCTCGTAAACGTAGTACGAGTTGGTTCTGACAGTTATTTCGCCTTCTACAGTATTTATAACGCCAGTATTTGTCTTGTTCAAGAATTTAGTCGATGTTGTTTTGCAAGAATTATAGTTTTTTTGCATGTTTTGTAATTTGCCAAAGATGAAAGATACACTACTACGAGAAGCTAATCGGTCTTGTTTTATTTAAATTAATTTTTAAATAACGGAAAATACATAGCACATACATTTAAAATAGACATGTAGAGTGTCATTGACAGTTGACAAATATGATAATGTTGGCAATAAAAGTATATACCTAATATATTCCTAAATATTTTAATACGTTAGTTTTAAATAAATATATTTTGTAAGCTACTATTGTAAAACAAACGGTTTATACATTTTTCTCCTCAATTCGCAAACTTATGATTTTTTTTCTTTGAGAAATATGACTGTTCTCTGAGGCACGTAATGAATTTTACGTTTACCAAATTCTTTCTGCCGCTAAAATCACACCATGGTTACCGATATAATCTGAAGATATACTTTTTTAATTGGCATATACCTACCTACGTATCTATATTTAATTGCAAAAACTAAATCATAGGTACTTGACCTTCTTCTAGTTTTTAACTATTCCATTATTTTTATTCTGATGAAGAATCTGTCACGACCACCTTGGAAGATGACCTAAAAAAGTGACACTCGAACCATCAATTTTGCTTCTATCTGTTTCTCGTTTAAAGTGCCATTAATAAAAAAGCCTTGGATTCCTAACAACTTTCGCAAACATTTATTTAGTAGGAAAGTCTCGGAAACTTGATAGTGTAAATCCGTACATTTTATTCTGCCACTGTTGCTGAAACATCAATATAATGAGGGTAAAACCTTGCTGAAAAATCAATATAATGAGGGTAAAACCATTTATTTATTTTTTTATTTTTGTTTGTTTTAATGGGTATTAGTTGTTAGAATGTATGTGATAGTTGGATTCGGTTACAATGAATTATCTTTATCAGGTAGTAAAAAAATACTCCAAACTTAACACAGGCAATTTATTACCTATACATCACTGCCATGACATTAAATTGTAGGTATCTACTTTTTGTTATCAATGAAAGTAAGAAAAAATGTGATTAAAAATATTTTAAGTACAGTTTTCCAAAAAAAAAAAAATACATATACATTCCGAAAGGTTCACTTTTTAAAAAATTACACAATACTGGTTTAGTTTTTTATACAGGGTGTTTCAGAATAACGTTTCATAAATTCTGGGGTTAATAGAATCTTAAAAAATAAGATATCTTCCTATGATCTATGAATCTGTCGTCTTTTCTTTTCAAAATGCAGAGCCTTTCAAAACATACACCTATGATCACAATATGTCAATTACTTTTGAAGATATTGGCAAAATTTGTTTTATAACGCATTTAGACTAAGGCTATATTTGACGTTTCTTAAATTTCGCCGTGTTTAACATTTTTTGTTACTCATACTACACCCCTGAAGATATTAGTGTAATCTCAAAAAAATACGCCTACGGACTACAGCTTTGTAGTATAATAACCCCGGGTTCGATCGAAAAAAATAAACGTAGTTGTGGCCAATACCTACGTTGTATACATCTATTTTTTAATTGACCGGAAGGCGCTGGCTACTAACTTTAAAGAGGGGAAGTATGGTTTCATTTTATAAAACAAAAGCAGAGTAAATACACCTAACTTTATTATTTACGTACAATAGTCTTAAAATTAAACATGTGACAAATAGAAAGAACAACAAAAACATTAACAACCATTTAACATAAAATGAGAGTGTCAGGCTGGAGCTCCTGTGGGGAAAGAGCATGGCAGAGAAACCCACGATCGTTGCTCTAACTACCCAAATATAAATACAAAACAACCGATAACAAAAGGCATAAATTAGGATCCTTTGCTAATTATAATTAACGCTCGACTCATTTAATGTGTCACTAAATATCACCTCACTCGAATTAGACATACGCACTTCCAAGTAAAACTGAAGAGGTTTGGTGTTAGTTAGCCGGCAGGGCCGGAAGGTAATGGAGTCCCATACGGGAGGCAATCCAGCTATGAGTTGAGATTTCGGAAGATCTGTTTTAGCAATTCTTTTTTGCATTTAATTATTCTTTTTACAGATTCATTCCTCACGGGCGAAAATGTTAGTAAATTCAACAAGGCTCTTATATGCGTATGACATAAGGTGAGCACAAGAAATGCTTTATTATTTGTTTTCCGAACAACGTAATCATGATAAAACAAGTTAAATGTGAAACAAAGGAGTTATTATTGCAATATCCGGGCGGTCACAATAATATATATATTTTAACATGTAATAAATAATGAGCAATCGTTAATAATAATTGTAACAATTTTACCCTTACAAAGAAGAATTGTTATAATTAAACATCTATAATCATCCCAATCATAAGATTACATTGAATAATTAACAACAAAGTACTTGGAGGATATTACCTGCTAATTAATATGTGTTAAACACTTTGATTTCAACACTCACGTAACAGGTGACGTCGAAGTTGATACGATAAGTGTGGTTTTGCACAGCTTGCATTGTGGCCCCTAAAAACTGGGCTGCACCTAAATTTACGCTCTGTTATTAGTTATTGCAGTATTTTACTACTTCTAGAATTTATAACACGTTATTATTATAAACATCCCGTATAATTGGTTGAGATCGCAATCAGGATGTATACTAATCAGGAAAACCGAGAAAACGTAGAATTACCAGGGAACTACATGGATCTGGAAATGTACAAGAATGTCAGGGAATTTTCTCAAGTTTTCTTGGAATTTTAAAAATTTCCACTTGAAATCGCTGCCAGAGGATGACACTAAACTTTTCTCTTGACATATCTTTTTCCGTTTTTATTATATTTTGGACGTCCAGAACTGCGTAAACCAATTTGCCATTGTACTTGCTGCTACAACTTCACAAAATAAGAAAAACATAGATTGGATAAGTTTCTGTAATTCCTGAAAATGATTTTTACAATACATTCAAAACGCTTAAAGATAAACAAATGAAAATTTACAAAATATTTCAAATTTTACTCTTTATTAGAAAAAATGGACAGCCCAAACAAAATGTTTCATAATTTTTCCTATGTGATATTTTTTACTTATTTGATCAACACTAGAGAAGAAATTGTATTTACATAAAAATCTTTTCTTGCATTTTTGATTTAAATATTCGAGTACATCCAAATTTTAAATTTCTGATCTTAATTAAATAAGACAAAAAACCTCATAATAAAAAAAATGGAGCAAAAAATTTTACACGAACCACACAGTTTTACCCGCCCCTGAATTATTTTAGCTCATAGGAGTTGTCATTTCTTATGATTATGATTTCTTATGATTGTGAAGTGTGAAATTCCTATGTAAATTTTAATTTATTTATTTTTAGATATTTTAAATTTATTCAATGAATTGTTTTCAGGAATTTCCACTTGTATCTTGGAAACTAAGACATTCTCGGACCATATGTTATTATGGTATCTTTAGGTAAGGAGACATTATTAGATTTTTTTTAATCAAATAGAAATGTTCCTCATTTCGGTAAAGTCATACATTGGCTGTCATTATAATTTTCGAAATATTTGTAAGTACCTCATTCAAAATTAAGAGGGAAATACAAACATATAATGTGGTAGTGATTGAATGTGGGAGTAGCATAGAGCTACACTTAAGTTTGATAATTTATTCAAATTTCCATGAAAAACGAGAAGTATAGTTTTTCCGAAGTCAATTGAAGAACCTATAATTTCAAGGTATGTACCAGGCTCGGTCGCTAAGCAGCAACTCGGCATTGAAATATTTGAAAAACTTGTTCCCATATTTATTTAGCCATACCCATATATAGGTCTGGTCGCACTAAACGTGCAGGTGGTAGAAATGTATACGACCAGTTGAAGAATGCGAGCGCGGGCAAACGAAATGTAACACAACTATATTGGCTTCTGGCAATAAATCACAGCTGGCGACAAGTGGATCATAAATTGCCCAGCAGTGCAGTGCTGCAGTGCGGAATTTGGTGTGAATCAGGCAATTTTAATTTATTATAGGCACCTTCTATCAATCATTCATATTACAATTGTGAAAGGGAGAAATAAAAGGGATATTTTGTTTACTAATATTATCACAACATGGCATTTTGGAGACCTTTTGAAACGGAAAACAAAAATTTAACACCAATATAATAAAATTGTTTGAGGACATAAATAATTAAAATAAAAAAAACATATAATAGAAATTTAGAAATACAAATTATTATAATTTTTTCCTTTAGCAGAAAATTTATTAGGGACGCCTATGAAACTAATTAAATTATTACCGTTTTTTTGCATATTCAACTGACTTCGGAAGGACTTATACCAAGGATTTTTTAGTAAAAATTAGTCTTATGAATTCTAATGTTTTTAATTTCATTATAATTTATTTTAAGTACCAGATATTTATCTTGTTACCCACGACGGAAATTAAAATCACGGGCATATCTAAATCCACATTTATTTAAATTAATTTCGAAATGCTGAATACAAGACGTCGGCAAAACGTCTCTGTGTTTGAAAATATACATTTGATGAACTTTTCTTGTCGAGAAAATACTCCCTTTTTCTGCCGACAGTCGCAACTCGCTGAATTGCTACATCAAAGGGGGAAGTTTCGTCGGAGTAAATATTTGAATCTTTTACTGTTGTGCAACGTTCCAAAAGAATGCCATTAATACTGTAGTCTTAATGAATATAACATTCCTTTCTGGGAAATAACACCGTTTTGCATTTGCTTACGTTGTTTAATTGTAAATTATATTCTTTGTCGATTCTTGGCAACGGGGTTCAAAGGTGCAGCGAAAAGCTTCAGATCCACAGCTTCTCGTAGCGAGTTGCGAATTCGTGTCGTAAATACACAAGTTGGATCCTAACTTAAAATATTCGTGTTCGTTTCAGTCATATCTAGTTAATATTAATAACGTGAACGATTTTGCAGTCCAGTGCACAAAGCAACGAACACCAAATATGGTATTTTGAATCAACAGAGTTTCCAGTCATGAAATATTAATTAAATCAGTTGTAGTATTTGCAACCCTTACATCGCTGGGCTACTGTAATCTCTAGCGTCATTCGCGTTGTGCGCTGTGCGCATTGCGTTCTATCACCGAATAGTGAAATCCGATTTTAGTAACATTTTTGCGATAGTGTGTACATTAGTTTTTCGGGTGTCAAAAATGGCTTCCGTGCATAGCAACTCTGAGTTGATGGATATCGTTTTACTTTATGGTGAAGCATTTGTGTTATGTATGGTGAAGCCAGACAACATTTGTGTTAGTTTGTAGAAATTAGGTAAGACGGGCCCAAATTTACACGTCGGTGGACAAAATTTTGAACAGTTGTAACATCAGGTATGTCAAATTATTTTATTAATTAAAACCACAACTTAATTTTATTGAATAATAATCATAATAGGAGCTGCAAAAGCAGTTGAATCTGCTAAAATAAAATAGGTGTGTTTTTAAATCTTTTTCGAACTGCCCTTTTTGATCTTTTTTACAAAACTGTATTTGTAAGAGTCCCCTGTACATTCATTTTTGGGCCAAGTTCTGAGTCACTGTAGAAATTCTGTAAGGGTATTTGAAATAAAATCAGTTTTCTGTAGCTGCGAAATAATTTTTTTAGTTAAACAATATTAACACTCTTTATGTAAAATTATGTCTACGAAATAAGCTACGTTGTATTTACTTTCAATTGCCTTTCTAATTAAGCTAAAAAGCATTTCGTCTGTAACATTTTCAAAGGGTTGAAATGGAGCACGGCACAAAAATTGTTATGGAACGCAACCTTAAGACTCTACGATGTTTCCATTGTGGTAGATGGAAATGTAAAACTGAGTGTCGGACAATGTGCCACAAAGCTTTGTTCTCGGATAAATGACAACGCAGAGAGTAGCAATATGAACTTTTAGAAGCTTTTATGGGTCAAGTAAATATCCGGAGGGCTGTAACGTGCAAACTTTCGTAATATGTTGTTGTTACAAAGAAATATGTTATTACGCCGGCTGTCGTGGCGGCATGAGTCGGATGTCACTCGAAATTATTTTACTAAGGAAAATGTGACATACATATAATATTTTAGAAAATAAATTCTGTGAGAATTTCCAAATATATTCATAATTATTGTGATAATCTTATGAGACATCTACTTATCATGGTCCTTAAGCAAATCACTGATCATTATTTTTTCTCTTTTTTGTTCCAAAAATATGATCATATTGTTTCTTATAAATACAGTGTCACCAATAAAGTAAGCAATTAGAAAGAAAACATTTTTACCTGCTGGTTCTACCTTTAGGTATAAAGGGCAAGAGAGTGAGTTCGTTTAATTCTTGACATTGCCCACAGTTTTAGGAAAGCTTAGCTCGTCCACCAGGGGGCAGCACGTCAATACCATCAAATCTAAGAATGAAGAAAAAAAAATTAAAAGTAAAAAAAACAAACTTCTAATTGTATATCAATGAAGAGAGGTCTTTTTATAAAAAAAAACTATTTTTGAGTTACTATCTTTATATCTACCGTCGAAAATCAACGCTAATGATTTTGTTTTTGCTATTGTATTTAAAATCGTATCTAAAACCAAAAATTCCTATAGGAATTTTCTTCGAATAACTTTATAGTTATTAAAGATTTATTCCATTTTATGGGATCTAAGCTATTGTTTAAAAAAATAACTTAAAAATGGCTCGTTTTCCAAATGAAATGCAAAACACCGTTTTTCTTTGAAATACAATTCAGAATCAAATGTATTTATCAAATGTCAAAAGATATTTTCGTAAATTTTATATTTTTCTAGAAATTTAAAAATTGATTATAAATTAAATCAATAAGAAACTTTTCTTCTTGGTCGTCTCTAAAATATGTTTATGTACTTAAGTTATATCCCTGTATAGTAGAGGATATTAGGTACATTTTTTTTTTAATATTCTGATTGTATATTGTTTTGTAATTTATAAATTGAAAATAAATCACAGTTAAAAATGTATTGCTTTTAATTAAATGCAAAAGGGTTTTTGTTTGCGTTACCAGTTTCGTCCTTTTATGAATATAAAATTTTGTGTCAAATTAAAAATGAAGGTCCCTTTTCATAATGAAACATATTTTTTTTCGAATATTCCTTTTTTGTTACATATCCGTATTTGCTAAATTCCGCAACAAAATGAACAAATACGAACTCGAATATTTACAGGTTTTAGAGATGTTTTAAAATCTTATGAGCTTTGACCTTCATATGCTCAGAAACATAATTTCGACCGTCGCCTAAATTATTCTACGTCCTAAAAACATTACACCTATTATTTACAGTCTCGAGCTCTAGCGTAAACAAGCCTTTGATCCGATTACAAATATCATAATAAAATGCCCTATTCTTTATTATTTTAATTTAAACAATAAAAATATATATAACGAACGTTCGCCAGTTGACTTTATTGATGCCCGAGCGCCTTAGTTCATGTCTACTTGTAATGATGCACATGGTCTAGTTCTGAGTCAATGTTTTCACAACGTGCTTATTAGAAGAATTATGGGGATACGCCACGCCTTTCGCGCATTTCGCGGCTCATGAGATATTAAAAGATCTCTAC